GGGTTAGGTGCTTGTCCTTGTTTTGGCAGTCCTGCTGTTTTGTTCAAGTTATGTATGCTGACAATAAAAAGTGTGAACTGTTAGGCCTTGATGTTTACTCATGGAACATGAACTTCCTTCCTTTGTTCATTCATTCCAAAATGTATCCCCATGTTTTTCTGAAAAAGGAATACAAATAGTTAAATACATGTCTTAAGTAATCCTTTTAATAGATCTGATTCCCAAACCATTTTTGTTCTGTGGTAAATCGAAGCAATATTTCATTGTCTAAGCTGGCAACGTATAAATAGTAATTATGTTTGTGCGGCGCATTGCTTGAGTTGTTAAAATTGAAACAGTGCTTCACATACTGTACCTCATTGCCAATATAAATTTTAGAAACCATTTTGAAGCGGCTTAATTCCTTGCCATTAATGTAGCTGTTCTTAATATTTGGTGGGTAAATTTAGAAAAAACACATTTCAAATTCAATTTTCAGATTATAATAGTTGTCTCTTATTGTGTGTTAGAGAAGAAAAATGGAAACGTTGTGATTCTTCAGTACATTTTAGTTCTCTAATACTTTTTTTTTGTCCTGTTTTGAAAAGAGGACTTCAAAAATGCAGGAAAAAAAAAAAGGTTAGATGATTGAATGCAGTAATAATCTTATTTGGAGAATGAACCAGCACCTTCAGATTCCTTCAGATTTGTTTTTATGTATAAGCTATGCATAGATATCTATCTGTATATGAAAAAAAAAGGCCACTTCTATGAAAGCACAATCAGAAGCAATCCATGCCAGACCATTAGTACAAGTATTAAATGCAAGATGTTTGACTGGTGAGGTCTTCAGAAAATGGGAAAACTAATAATGGGCTTTAGTTGGAAATGCAGATGTCAGCTGTGGGTGCCTTGAATTATCAACAATAATGCTAAACACAGGGTAGGATTTCAGCCTGCTTGTTCTTTATTCTTCTCTCAAAATCATTAAAGCTGAGACAGTTGTGACATGTGTTCTGCTATGGCTCGATAAGTGAAGACGTGCGTGGAACGTATATGCACGCGTGTGCTGAATTATTCATCTTCAAGGTGTTTGGGGAGGCAAATGGAACGGACTGTGCTGGCAGGTAGCTTTGAACCATATCTCACAGGCAAAGAGAGCAAATATTCTCGGTTTATCTTGGACCGAGCTGCTTATCAACAGTATTCACGTTATTTTTCTTTCTACTACAGTTGTGTTGCAAAGCCAGATAAACTTCAAATTCTAATAGAAAGTATTTTTGTGAGATTTATCACCTGTGCACCTGTTATCTGTACTCCATCCAGCTAGGTGAAGGACTTGCACCAAGCAGCTCACCAAATTTACGAAGTTTTAGTTGCCGCAAGGTCAGCTTTCAAGGCAAAATGGAGACTTGTCTCCTGCCTGCTTCAGCAGCTGCTCAGGGGTGCCGTGCTTCTTCCCGAGAGAGGGGTTCCCCAGAGGGACATACAGCAGAAGTCCTGTTATCCTTTTGTATCCCTCTCGGTGCTACCTGCCATCTTCCTGTCTGTGTTGACCTGGAATCTAAGTTACTCACCAACTCTCATAGCCATAGAGCCAGCAGATTGTAACTTCAACATGAGAGCCTCTGTGATCCTGATGGAGCACAGGAGCTACAATTTGTCTGCTTCTGATGCATCAGGACAGAACCTGACATATGAACCAAATTCATTCTCTCAGTATCCATATAGAGGGATCCTGTTGGACCTGCAGTTTTTTTCTTTTAGCTCCTTTCAGCAAATACATCACCTTTCCCCAACCCCCTAAGACGAGAGATATTAAATGAGCTGCAGACTCAATTTTTATTCATATATTTTGACATATTTCTCGTTGGTACACTAGGTTCTTGTGTGATTAATGGGTGTGGATTCAGTTGATAAGTTTATCTGAAATACTGTAAATTCTAAATTGAAAAGTTCAATCTTACGTAGCTTTCAAAGGTCATTAAAGATATTGTTTTACATTTTTGAGATTGTGTGGAGGATTGTGTTTAAAGTTGAAACAGTCTTTTTATGTGTCACATCTACTGCAAGCCCACTTTACGCTATGAGCGACCTTGTAGTGTTATGTGCGAAGTTACAACAGTGGAAAAAAAATCTCAGAAGAGAGGTTGGGTCAACAGACGACTCTTTCCTGAGGCTCTTCTAAATGATATTTTGCTCTGGAATGCATTTTAATCTCCGTGAGGGGGAAGTGTAACTTTCTTGCAAAGATGGGAAGCACATGCTACTTGTTAATTGTGCTTTACTCCACACTTACTTTAGGATGAAAATGTGTAGAACAGGAATTGCCATCTCACGCTTCAGTAACTGTGCTGTTAGGCACTGCTGACCATCATCCTTCTCAAAAAAATAGAAATTTGCACGCTGAAATTCAATCTCAAATGTTTTATTACTCTGAGCATTCAGACATCTGTGTATTACTTAGAATCAGAGTCAGGTGCTGGAACGGGCTGCCCAGGGAGGTGGTGGGAGTCATCCTGGTGGTGTTCAAGAAACATTTAGATGTTGTACTGAGAGACATGGTTTAGGGGGAAATATTGGTGATGGATGGACTTGGATGATCTTTGAGGTGTTTTCTAGCCTTGGGATTCTATGAAAAATTAGGAAAGCACTGATGTGTTGTTTTTGGAGAACTTCTAAATGTGTACTTTATACACTAAATATTCTCATCCTCTTTTGTCAAGACCTACAAATTATTTATTGTGGTCTGCATTGCTCTCCTACTTACTTGTTTATAAGTAGATTATACCACTTGAAGGTTTTGGACCTGACTGTAATGCATCCGTTACATATTAACATTTCTTGTGATTATAGAGTTGTAAATATCAGTGAAAGCCTTCCTCTCCCAGTCTTCTTTTTATTCAGCATGTCCTTGATTTAAATTCAACATTCCGTTAATTTTCTTACCACTAATATGCTCTACTTAGGTGGGAATGAAATATTCCTTAACTTCTTAATTCTTAATTTACTTGACTGATGAAGTGATTGCTTGGCAGCATTATCTGTGTTTTCCCATCTCGTGTAATCTTGTGTCAGCCTAGCTCTGACCTTTATGTGATAGACCTTCTACTTAACAAGCTTTGGAATAAAAATACATGATTGACAGAGCTTCAGGAAATAATTAGTTTCAAATAGCTGTGAGAAGCGAAAGGATTATTTAAGGGAAAAGAAAGTGATATAGCTCTTTCATGGAGCATATGAAATCATCTTGGCTTTTAATTTAACTGTGAAGGAATTGAAATGAAGTCACTGTGCTAAAACATTTCTGAATGAATCATTGTAAAGAAACTCTCTTAAGAAACTTATCAAAGCTCAAATATTTGGAGTTAATTAGCTTGTTTGCTCTTTCAGACCTCATGAAACATGGCTGTGTGGGAAAGCTGCCTTAGGGGAGGGAGCATGTCCGTTAGATTTTGCTGAAACTTAGGGAGCAGTTAATAATAATGAAATTGGAAAAAGTGATAACAAGTTATGTAAAATCGCATATTTTCCGGGAAAAAGATGTGCATTCTTCAACTTGTTACAAAGGGTCAGGGTGATGGTGTTTCCTTTTGAATTTGGAAAGGGCTTGATTAAACTTACCTAAATCTAACACAGGTGTTCACTTTGACTCGAGAGACTTGCCCAGAACATAATCATTCTCTCTCTTATCTTTGCATACTCCTTCAGGATGTCATAGGCTTGGGTTGGAAGGGACTGCAGAGACCATCTAGTTCCAATTGCTGTGCTGTGGGCAGAGTTGCCCACTGCTAAATCAGGCACTAGATCGGGTTGCCTGGTTGGTTTTTTACATTTACCTGCTTGCTATTCTTTCAGAACTCAGGTTCTATTTGTCACATGTTCTAGTGGAGCTTTCTGTCTTGTAGATTCTCCTTCCCCTTCTCCTCTCACTGTGTTTTGTGTGGCTTGGTTTCTAGTTTTCTGCTCGTCCCTCTGGTGGCTGTGATCTCCTCCTATGCTCAGGGTGCACACATCCCTTTCTGTGCTCACTGCCTTCAGCTTTTTGAAAAATTGTGGTATTGAAGCTGAAGCTCTCTGGGCTTATTCTCTGCAGACAGTGAAAGAGATGGTTTTCCCAAGATTTTTTTTGTGTGTGAATGAGGTGGCAAAATGAGGGATGATTTCATATAAATAACTTCCTGTTCTGGGTATCCTTTGCACTAATGCTGATGTATGAATCATATGCCTTAGTTCTTTAAAAGGGACTCATTGCATTGAAACGGACTTCACAATTTTTGTTCATTTTCACTAAATGACATCCACAGTATGTTCCTGTCACCATCTAATGTTCAAAACACATTAAACTCCATTATAAGCAACTATTAATCCAATGTGCATATTTAGAACGCTCGTACCGACTGGTTCACTGCATCAGTGTGCAAAGAGTGATGTGAAATTGCTGGTTTGTATCAGTAGGACTGAACCATTGTGTATTCTGTGTGTTTCTGCAGCCACTATTTATTGGCATATTTTCCAACGGCAGCTATAGTTTTCTCTTTCCTATGACAGGAAAGCTAACATTTATGTAATTATTCTTCTTTTTAAATAACACTGTGGTACCTTTAAGCAGGGTTTTGCTTAACTATGTGAAATGCATTGTTGTTTTGACTTTATTAGGAATAAAATGAGCTGAATGATTTCAGAAGAAAACTGTGTAGAAAAGTATGGAATTGCTATATAACCAAGGCTATCCAATTATTTAAGACTTTTTAGCTGAATTTGCAAGCGTTTAGTTTAATTCATATATACTTGAATGCATATTGTGGGTTTTTATCCTTCTATGAACTTTGATTTCATTAAACTTCTCACAACCTGAGACAAAGGCTTGGAAACCAAATACCTGGCAAAAAATGTGTGGTAGTGATTTGATTTGAACATTTTTTGTGTCTGTATGATTCTAAATGTGGTGTAAGAAATACTTACTGTTCCAATAATTTGCTAAGTGTCTGGTTTTAATAGTGATTTTGTTAATTTGACAGGGACAGCCAGTTGGAGACTGTGATTTTAATGTTCGACTTTCATGTATAGAAAAAGAGATTATATTTCCACGGCATGAAAAAATGAAGACTGGTCACATTGACAAAGCACAGGAACCATTCAGTGTTCGAAACAAACCATTTTTTGACATCTACGCTTCAAGAAAGGTAAACTCAATTTGAGGTTTTTATGTTAAGGTACAGAGGGTAACAATGCAGCGTTCAGTGTAGGTTTTTCCTACACTTTTTTCCTTTTTTTATTTTTTTTTCTAGCTCTCTGCAAGTTCCTCTGCTAACCAAGTGTTGAACTTTTATTTTTGGTGGTAAAGGGCAATTTTCGTTCTACCTATTACTTCTGATTTCCTCTTTTCCCATATTTAAAACCTGTGTTGGTAAAATGAAGTTCTTTTGGTAGTATCAAATGAAGATACAGAATCATCAGTATGAAATGGCTCCTAGCCTATAGGAACACTAGAGAGTTATACTGTTCACACTATCCTCTTTTGAATGTAAGAATATAACTTCCTTTTCTGCTTCCAGTCCTCATCTGGGGCTGGTATAAGAATCATGAGTTGTGCCTGAACTCCCACATGCTCTTCAGCAGTGATTACTGAGCCCATGTTGGTTAGCACCTCCACATCTTGCTTATTAAAATGCTGCCCCAGATCTTCTGAATTAGAGCATGTGATTTGCAAATATATACGTGAGTTTCTGCATTTCATTGTACGCTCTGTTCTTCAGTAAAGTAGTATCATAATATTCTGTAAAATAGTTTTATTCTGTGAATTAACTCAATAATATTCTTGTCTAGAGTAATCCTTTTTTGTCAGTGCTGCTGTTAGAAGGGGTCCCATATCTAACCAACACCGTGAATATCTAATTGTTAGCTTCCGTTTGCTTTTGTCATTACCTAGAGCTTTTAGCAGGCAGTAAGCCTTGCCCTGACAGGAGCAGTAGTGGAGTTTTGGCTAGCCAGGAGGTGGCTGAAAACTCAATAAAGTGATGAACATAAGTTGGACTTTCAAGAAGCCTGACACAGTGACAGTCTCGGGGAAACTTGAATCATGAACAATTCTGTCAGAAGGTTGTGTGCATAAAGCACTGTAAGTGTTCTGATCACTTCTCTGATGTGTAGTGTTGTTTTTTGGATCATTTATGTAAATAATATTGCCACCATTATTAATTTAATGTAAACTTTTCTTGGAGGTAAAAGTCTGTTTGAGACATGGAATTTTGAGCTTGCAATTGAAAGGAACTTGTACGAAAGGAAAATTGGTTTCTTCTATTAATTGTTTCTTGAAACTGTTTCTTAAACTGGAGTTCCAGATTATTTAAAAATCACAGGGAAAACATGCATGGAAACATTCCTAGGAAACTCTCTGGGTACAACGCATCTATAAACAAATCTTTGGCAAGTTATATCTAATCATTATTTGACACGTGAAATTGTTGACTGCTGGCAGCCTATCTGCTAAGAGCCGGTTGCTGTCAGGAGGTAAATTTCAACAATCATCAAAATATACTTTATACTGTAGCTTTGTGCAGAACAGCTTAGAACCAACCAGAAGATGACTATTGAAAATGTCACCTCCTTCCCAAAAACAAGGAAAAGAAAATTAGGTTCAAGTGTTTTATTTTCCTGTCTAACTGAGGTTTCTGAGTTGTCCATGTATTGGATTTTAACAGTTCTGACTACAGCATTTTTCAATCAGCATTGGGGCAGTTGTGTTTACTGGCCTTTCTCTTCTTAGGCAAATTTTCCGTATAAATTCTTTAAGATAGTGAAGGCCTTATATTTGATGCTTTACTGTTGGACAGTATTGATGAGCAAAATAAAATACACAGGGCTAGAATTTGCTTCATGGTAGATTTATAATTGCATTTGACATCAGTGTTCGGACATTATTGCAGTATTTATTTTTTTTTCTTGTATCCTTGTCTTTGACGCAAGGTTTGATTAACTTGTGAATTATGGGATGAAGATGTTTCCTGGCTAGTTCTTAAATATTTTTTTAAAATGTTGCTACATACAGCAGTTAAACATATACAGAGGGAGCAGCAGGGGTAGAGTTACCCAGTGCTGCAGAGCGAGTCAGTTATTTTTCTCTTATTTTAATTATTTCAAACATCTATGATTTACCTACTCTATGCACATTATAGATCAAGTTGGTAAGAAAATAAGGCAAGAAATATCCTGGGTTAAAAAAATAAATCTCTTTTTTTTGTGTCACTTATAATCCCCCCTCCTATTAGTCTCCATAAAATTCAGTAACTGCTTTACACACTGGGGCTATGTGGCATTTTTTTCTTTCTCTGGTGCTTCCTTTTTTTTTCTCTAGGAGTTCTGATGCTTTTTGTAAGCAATAAATATACCTTGAAACAGAGATGGTGGTGACTTGGCAGTCTGAGAGCAGGGCATCTGAAAGTGCAAGGCACGGATACCTCTTTAGTTTTTATGACTTAATTGAAACTTTCAAAATGTGTTACCTGAAGATAGCAGTAAGTCTGTGGTACGAGGTAAAACTGTAAGGACACTGTTATGTGCGTTTGAGGTTCCTGTGCAGCTCAGTGAGCAAATTATAATCACCTTTAAAGTCATCTTTAAAGATGGCGATGGAGCACTGTTTTGCTTTCTGCATTTTGGGTTTGAAATAACCATAGATTTTCGTATCTTATTTTTCGTACAAAATACTTAAGTTTTAAACAGTTTTGTCCTGATTTAAAGTGACTGCTGTATAGTGAAATACGTTAACTGTCCTACTGATGCAACTGAAAACTGCTAATGAGGCTTTAAATACGACCTTTGTTTTTAGTAAGAAAGAAGTCTTTTGTCATTATCTATGTATTGTTTATATGCCCTGTGATAACTGTAGGGAATCTGAGGTGGCACTACCAGCATTGGTGTGGAGTTGAAATGTTTAAGGGATACCTTAACAGATTCAGAATTTATTTCAAATCCGTACCTGTTCAAAATAATTGCATTTATAAAAATATGTTCTCAAAATATTTAGACTACTATTATTTAGACTAATAATTATTGCTGCTCTTACTTAGATCAAAAATACAATTTTCATCTCATTTGTTCTGTGAACTTGATGAGTTATCTGACTCCTCTAATGCTCCTTGGGATAGTGATGCAAAGATGAGATTTTTGTACTCATGACAGCTTTGCAAAAAGAATTTTTAATTACGCATGGTTAGAGTAGACTATTGTTTAGAATTGTTGCCTTGTCCCGAAAAAGAAGTACTTAAAAAATAGTATTGCTTTGCTGGAGACCTTTTTACTATGTTTTTTCAGTCGTCTCTGCAACTATAGCAACAAGTGTACTCATAGCTTTGAACACCTCATTAGTGAAATGGAGAGAACAGGCTGGGTTTCTTCTGCATCAGCAACAGATGTCTTGATAGGGTTTACTAACTCTGTGTGCAGCGCAGCATGGGTCTGGAGAGAGCCAGGGAATCCTTCCTGGCTTCTAAGTCTGCTCATGTTTGGATTGACTCAGTGAATACATCAATCCATCTCCAGAGATGATGCCAATAAAATGAACGCTAAAGGACAGATGAATAGGACTTACTCAGGTAGATCTTTTTCTTATACTTAATTTGCCATTTTGCTTGCTCTTCTTTAAGAACAGTGAGGTCCTTTCTTTTTTTTTTTTTTTTTTGAAAGGATTCAGCAGAATTCTTTCTTGATCAGAGGTCTTTAAGAGACTTTTGAAATATGTTCCCTGGTCTCAGTTTGAATCACTCAAAAATAAACACTGTACTTTCTTTTCAGGGGCTCACTCCCTCAGTCCTTTCTGTGAACAGAGTTAGCAGGTAGTGTTCCTAATTGAAAGCTGATGTCGACTGGTTCTTAACGGTATCATACATGAATAAATGGGTGTTTGTCTAGGTGGGTTGTAGGAAGAATACTGAATAAGGCCAGGAGTCTCAGCACTGCATTTGGAAGTTCTAGCCACTTACTCTGCTATTAATTATACCAACATGGACTTCTGTCTGCGTGGGTTTAGTTATTTTCAGTGAAGGAATCACTTGAAACAGCAGTGAATCTTTTTGTGTTACATAATTTCTCAAATAATGAAATAGATATTAAAGTTATGGAGTTGAATCTGGTATTAACCAGATTTAAGAGTAATGGCTCTTTTTTCCCAGTCTGAAAATCAATTGTCTGTGAAGTGAAAAGCACTTTTAAAGTTGCAATTGTAAAGTACTATGATAAAGTATCCTTTTGCCTTGCCCTTTGTTGTTAGTACTAGGTTTTGGAATTAAGGGCTAGATCTCTACAATGTTATCTTGAAGTTATTTGAAGAGGCTTCGATGGACTTCTGATTTTTAGCGAGATTGAAGTTGGATAAGAGTAAGAAAAGAAAGGGGCAGTCACCTGGGGGTATGCTATAGGTTCTCCAAATCTCTGAAAATGTTACATTGAACTTTGATATTGATGGAAGTAATATTGCTAGATTTGTATGCTTTTATAAACAAAGAATCATTGAACAGTTTATTATTTTAGTGTTAGCTGGGAACAGATACAATCTGTGGGCACTTTGGCCTTTTATTGTACGACGAAACATCCAGATTCTTTTAATAAGGTATTTATGAGCAATTTTGCCTATTTACTGTTTGTCCTGACGCTTGCATCGTTTGTCACTTTGGTTGTCCAGCTTGTGTTCCTGGTGTATATTAGTGTGTAATATATGTCCCATTCCACCAACTCTTCCTCCCATCACGTAGGGATGACAGCAGTTAGTGGAAGAAACTGAGTTTAAGATTTCCTTGATGTTAAAATATTGAAGAATCAAAAATATTAATGCTTTTTTTGCTGTATATTCTTAGTCTTTGAGCCTTAGCTTAGCCTTCTATTTGTGCAAATATTTTAGGACTTTTCAGCAGGGAGTTTATCTTCATTTTTTTCAGGAGAGGAAGTACAGTTACACAGCGAAGAAAGAATTAAGTTCTTAGAAATGATGCAAATGTTTGGTTTCCATTCCCTAAGCCAATCTGCAATTCTTTTGCAAAGCTCTTCTGTGTGGGCAGGCACAGTCTGGATCATTACTGGAGCCTCATGTCTAGTGTCTGTGCTTTCTGGTGTGGCTGGAAAAAAAAAAGTTTCCTTTTTTGTGGTCCCATGGAGAATTGTGCTGATCGCTCTCAATGGAACAATAGGG